CTGTCTGCACACAAGAAGGAAGAACATGTACACTACATTAATGTCTAATCAGGATGTATTTCTAAGATGATGGTCTACATTGAGTATCCATTTAAGAAAGCAGGTTTTGTTCTTTGACGGTCTGCTTTGACTATTACAGAGGTTAAGGGAACACATGGGAGTTTTTAACACAATTAACTCTTGTGAATGAGGGCTATTACTGTTTGATGATCCAGACAAGGGGAAAAGGAAGTGGGAGATGGATCAAAGATGGAGTAGCGATAGGTAAACGTGTGGTGGAAAAGTTTAAAGGGAAAACATGATTGCAACAAGTCTTAAGACAAAGTATAAGTTTACACTGAAGGCAATGGGAAGATGGGAAAGTGCCAATTAACAAGATTAAAGTTTTTTCAAGGCTCTTAAACCTCTAAAGTGGACTTAATACAAGATAATTCTCTTGCTCTAAAAAGAAAAAAAAAAGACATTATCAAATATAGTAATACTCCTTGAGTAATAAAAATTATGCTTTAAAGGTCCTATATTAGGCAAAATTGACTCTTGTATGCTTTTAGCCATGCTACAGTGTTACCGTATCAAAAGCATACCTGGAGTTGTGTTGTGTTTATTCATACATGTTTGAGTAACCCTTTATTTTTAGTCTGCTACATCTCCTAAACTCAAAATGCTCTGATCCTCTTTGTGATGTCACCTTTAGTTACCCATTGTTCAACAGAGATTGGTAATTCCAGGGCTGAAATCATCCAAGTGATTCCAGTGAAGGAGCCTTAAAACACAGTGGCACGCTTCTGGTATTACCACACAACATCACAGGGAGTTTTCAGTCTGAGAGAAGAACTAAGCCTAAACATGCAGGGTTTGCGTGTTGAACATGTTTGAATGAAACAAAACACAACTCCATGTATGTTTGTGATGAGGAAACAACATTATAACACAGATCAGAAAAAATCGCAATATGGACCCTTTAATAATGATTTAAAATGTAAGATTTTCACAAAAGACAATTTGTAGTTTCTGGAAATTGGAGAACCCAGCCACCATACACCCCCATTCAAAGTGATCTAGGGCAAAATACTGCACACTAAACAAACTCTGAAAGTGATCTTGATAATAACATCTTCTTAAGCCAGCGGTGTTACTATTTCACCTTCTAATTTCATTTCTCTCATTTACTTAACCCCATACTTCACCAAACAAACAATCATCTACCATGTGTCACCTGTCATCAGCTCTACACATGCCGTATAATTGTAAGCTGTTGTTTCAGATTTTTCACAAGTGTTATGACAATGTGATTTATTTGTCCAAACATCCATTCTCTTGTACTCATCAGGCTAATATAGGCTGTTGCATTATTCAGTTTATTGTGTCTAGATTCTTCAATATGGCAAAAGGATGTAAACATCAGAGACTTTCCTAGCATGAGGTCATTCTCTAAAGTTTCATGTGTCGCTAAAGAACACCATTGTTTGTTGTGTAAACTCTGCAGTTATAGGTTCTGCAGTTAGGTGTAAAGAATAAAATGGGGTTAAAAGTCATCGTATGCATGCAAGTGTAAAAAACCCTAAAACTACTGGTTAAAAAGAGAAAAGTAGGCTACAGCTCAGTCAGCAGCTGGACACAGTTTGACAACAGGGAGCCATTAGCTGCTGCAGCCGGGAGATGCAGTGCTGTAATGTTTTTGGCAGAGTCTGGCCATGGCGTTCACTGCTGACGCACAGAGGGACAACAATGTCGAATCTTTTCACTGTTCTGCCCACATGCACATCTCTTATGCAATTCCATCAGGACGATTTGAGCTGGTAATTAAATGCCACAGTGTGCCCCATTTCTAGTTGGTTCATTAAAGTAGTTATGGCTGCCCATAAAGGGAAAGTAGCATCAAATAAAATCCAGTTTAAAGGCTTTGTATTCAAATGGCAAAGGTTTATCATGTATTTTCCATGAGTGGTGCCAGGACAGGCAGACAGCAAGGCTTCACAGAAACATGCCCATAAAAATGAACTTACCTTCAGGGATATATTTACAAACTTGAGTCCAGTTGTCACTTGGGAAAGAAGCAAGTCACTCAGTAAAACATATAAAGTGCAAAAAAAAAAGTGTGTTTTTATTTTGTTCATTAGAGATGAGAAACTGCTGATTGTTTGAAAGCCCAGAATCACAACAGCAGCCACCATTGTCTGGATGATGATTTTCACTCAGTAGTATCAATAACTCTCTCCAAAATGCATACCCTCTGTTTCCCCTCTTTCTCTCTGAGCATATTACTTTATTCTGTGTGGAGTTGGATCTCCAGGGAGCCTAACACACTTCAGATGGGCTGACTCACCTTTAGGTTACACTTTCCTCTGTTTACTCAGTGTATGGGATTGTTTGAAAACTCAAAAACTTAAAATGTAACCCTTGACAAAAAAGTGTGTTTATAAACAGCATCTTTTTTTTCAAAATGGAGTTTCCCTAATACACACATTCATACACATATTTCTGTGAATATACATCTGTGGGAAAGCTGGCACAATAGGTCACACACACACACATACACGCACACGCACGTACACAGGTCATTGTTGTGTAGTCTATTGACCTTTATTTGAGTCTACTATTTAATATATGCTCACATTTCCACCTTCAAAGTGCTTTACATCAAGGAACCACGCACCCATTCACACACACATTCATACACCAATGTACACAGACACTGGGGGCAAGGGGGTCAAGTGTCCTGCCTAAGGATACAACGACAGCATTCATCTGTGGGAGCTGAAATCGCATCATCAACCTGTGGGTTAGTGGAGCAGACCGCTCAAACAACAATGTTTATGTTGAGAGCAGGATTCAAAGTTTTTAAAGGAAGATTCAAATAAAGAACAAAACCACAGGAGAAATTACAAAAGGATTTCACTGGTTTATTTGGCACAACAAAAAAGTGCTTTAATATAACACTGTCCGTTGCTCTTTTGGCTTAAAATTTGTCTCAGTTTAAAAAATCTAATCAAAATTCCCCTGTATTTAATAAAGGCATTGGCACTGCATTTTACTTGTTGATATTATCAATATTGTTTGATGTTTGGTACAAAAATGCAGTGAATGCCTAATGATTTTACATGTAGTTTAGAAGAACACATATGATTACAAGTACAAATCCTATAAAAAGAAAATTCATCCTTAAATACAGTAAAGTAAAGGCCACAGGTTTGTTTCCTCTTGCACTCAATAACTTATCCTTATTGCATTTCATTGTTATTGCAAACAAAACCCACAGCTCAAAATTTCACATTGTTTGGTCAGAAACTAAATGTTTTTCACTCTCTTCTGAAAAAAAGAAACATGAATGAAAATAAAAGCTCTTTGGTAGATAAGCAAAAATAGAATATATAATGTCTATAAAATGCATTAAAGTATAGATGAAATTGGCTACAGCAAAAAGGACAAAAAAGGCAGAAAAATCCAGCTTTGACTTAATAGGGAAAGTGTGCATAAAAGTAAAATTGTTCACAATAACAAATATATAAATTAGTAAAAACAATCTGAATATAAATGCATCGTGAATGATGCAAGGCAAAAACAACCGCTGAGGTATTTTATCATGTTTACGTCAAGCAACACAAGGGCAACAGGATAGACACAAAAGTGCATCAAAATTGTCATGTCTGAACCTGCTGCACTGCAAACATGGGACATGTTTCCCTCCAAAACCTGTTCTTTCTCTCTAGTGCCTGATTCACATTCCCATATAAGGTAGTAAAAGGAGATTTTGTGGCACTTTGACAATAAATTACTTGAGAAGCACAGTGTTTTTGGATTTCAACTTGACCGCCATGCTGGTGGATTTACAAACATACATCAATTAAAAAACTAATGTTACATTTTCATCATTCATATAAAAAAACAAAAACAAACTATAGTCACTGTTTCTGCAAAAGTGACAGCAGCAAGTTTACGCCATCCTCATCTGGTCACATGATCACATAATCAGGGGGAGATTAAATCTACCCACCATTCATTATTTTGAGATTATTCACAATGTAAACGATGTTTTAAAAATAACTGCAGTCGTGCGTTGTGGAAAGTTAGACGACATGATTGGGTTGAACAAATCGGGTACTGTGTGATGTTCAGCTGTGGCATAGGTGTGTTATGTTTTCACATTTTATTGTGCACATTCAATGAGTGCAGGCGGATACAATAAATAACCGAAGTAAAGCAACTGAATGCCTTTCAGAGTGTGATGTGAAGGGTACTTGTTGTATTGTCTGACCATAGATTGTTGGTCTCATAGAGCCCTTGTATTGTTTACTGTATATTTACAACTTAGCTCCTTGGGCTTGCGATGATATTGTATTTCATGGTTTGATTTGATTGCATTGTTTAGTTTCATTCATTCAACCATTTAGTGCTTTGCAGTCACCACGCTTAGTAAGGCCTGACCAAGAAGCATCGACAATCAAAAGCTGTTAGCACCAAGTTCCTGTAGTAAAATATACATCTATTTATCACAGCAGCACCTTCTGAACAGATCCATGTAGTGTAGTGGCAGACCTTTTCTTCAGTTTGATGTGTCTGCTGTTGCTCAACACATTGGTCATAATGGTGCAATGGAAGAAGATATTGCCACTGGCTGAGCACAACCTCAATGGGCAAAAGTGATTCTTCCAGTTTGTTTGATGGATGTGAAATGACATATGAAGAGGTAGCTAATATTATAAAGAGTAGCGCTCTTGCTGTCAACTACACTGTGAATAAACTGATTATAATACATATTTAAAATAAATAGAATCTGTTTCTCTATTTAAATATTAGATCTAATAGCCACAACACACACTGGTTTTCCACTATAACATAATGTTGTGTGCATGATTTAACAAAGTAGCAGCCATTGCATTAAAATGAGAATTCAAGTTGTTTGGTTTGCCCATTTTGGTTCACCTCAACCAATGTCTCCAGAGCAGCATTTTATACAACACCTACATATTGTGAGGGAGTCGAGTCGAGGATGACAGGTGTCATACATCCAACACCATGTCGTAGTGTGTCTCCTTTTTCCTCTTGCCACATTTGTTTATGAGCGCTGCATACAAAGTCAAGAGTATGACCCAGTAACTGGCATAGACTACAGCTCCTATGACCAGAACTAATTTCTCTGAATCAGGGAAGGGCTTCTTAGTCTGTAGGACCACAGTGTAAATGATCCCAATGAAAAGGATTGTGAACCACACTGATATGGGAATTAACCCAATAAAGTTTACCACAATGGTTTTCCTCCCAGATGTGCCCCATCCAGACTTGTTGATGGTTGCTATGGCAAACATCTTTGCTGGTAAAAGACTTGACATGTATAGTACAGAGTAAAAAGACATGAACACCATCACTATGTTCCCTCGAAGGCAGCTGGCAAATGTGGATTTGATCAGTGCCACGGCCTGCACTATCAGAAGAAACAACAGAATATTCCAGAGTCTTCCTTGGTAGAAGAGCTGGATGGCAGTGGCAATAAGAAAGAAAGGGAAGAAGCCTGTGATGACAGCCTCATATGTCATCCATAAATGGTGTTTGTGAAACCACATGGAGTTGTACAGCCACTCTCTGAAGTAGGACTTACTCCACCTAGTCTGCTGGTTAAGCCAGCGCAGGTATGTGATGGGTGTCTCGGTCAAACACTTGGAGCGTGCTGTATACTTGGTGGCATATCCCAGACTGAGCACTCGGTTTGTGAGGTGCCGGTCATCTCCAAAACTACAGTGAGATCCCATAAAGGTCTGATTGTACCAGTCCTCCAGGAACTCGTGCAGGAGGGAGTTTCGGTACATTCCCAGTGGCCCACTGATGCACTGCACACAGCCAAAGTAAGATTGGCACGCCCGCTCTATGTTGAAGGCCATCCAGTATCGCACACTGCTTAGGAAGGAGATCCATGACTCATATTTGTTCAGAATCTGAAGACACAAAGAGGGGGACAGTTACAGGGCATTTCATGCTTTTTTCTTTTAAAATGTTTAGATAAAATCAAAGGAAAGTTTGAAACATCTGATTATTGATTTATTGATGTTTTTGTTTTTGTTTTGAACAATGAGAATGATGAGTATTGTATGTATTTACTTGCACATCTCCCCCAACACCCCCCACCATTGGGTCTTCTTCCAAAACCTTGACCATCTCCACTGAGCAGGCTGGGTCCAGCATAGTGTCTGAGTCACAGACCTTGGGAAAAGAAATGCATAAAATTATACTCTACAAACACAATGCTAAAATCCACCTGTAGGCTAAACAAAATGTTTGATCGCCTTCCTTAAATGGTTTCTGTTCTATAACTCAAGGTGACAAAACTGTGCATGGTGCCAACTCTTAAATGGGCTAGCATATTTGTTTTGATCACAGTGGCATTGGCTAAGCCCTGCATGGAACCTTTTGAAATAATTACTGATAATGAAGTTTTTGGCATGCTCCGCACATGAACAGGTGGGAAACAGCTTTGTCTAACTAAAGTAACAGATTAGATGAGATCAAAAGAAAGTTATGTGTCGCAAGTGTATATAAACAGCACTCATGTCTGTGATGTGTTCATTCAAACATAGGCTACTGCTGTGTTTCTTCACACCACACTTCACAACATGATGCACACAGCCACAGTCCGTCTGAGGCAACACAAAAGTGTCTTTGTGAACTGTGTGTTTGACTTGGCAGAGCAGCCCCCTCTCTCTACAAACCCAAATTTCGACTTTTTTCTCTATCAGACATCATCGTACTAGTTGAACTTTAGATTGATATACTATTACAAAAACAGGATCCAAGTTCTTTCACTTACAATCATGTTTTTTTTCCATTAAGTGTGACTGACAAATCTCCCCTTCATTGAAACAGAACTGTAGGCTATGCTGTCCTTACCTGCACATAGTCCACACTGCGGCCCAGTGCCTTGAATGCGGTGTACATGACCTCTCTCTTGCCTCCCCACTTCTGCATGATGCACACACACTTGTTGTTGAGGACTACCCTCGACATCTGCTGCAGGCTCTCAGCGTAGCTCTCTTCCGTCTCCCCTGGTCCTCTGGCATGATAATTACTCTTCCAAATAAATGTGGCTGATTTATCCCAGCCCATGATCTCTTTGAATATCTCCATCATGTACAAATCGTCGTCATTGTTCCCGTCAATCACCATAATAACTTTGATCCCAGGGTAGGTCAGTCTTTTTACTGACACAAGGCACTTCCGCAGATAGTTGGGGTCTTCTTGATAGGCAGCGATGCATAGCGCTAATGATTTATTCAGTTTGATTGGTGTCTCCAAAGATCTCTTCATGTTTCTGTGCTCCAACAGTGCAAATAGACTCTGGATGATGAGATGAACAACCAAGATGGCGCCGTACAAGCCAAAGGATAAGTAATTGTGGGCTGTGGTGAAGAACTGGTAACCCATAATGTAAGCGGTGGAGATGCCCACGAGGAGGGACACGCCGAACAAAGTGGTGCCGAATATCCGCAGGTATGTGAGCCCTTTTTGGCAATTCATCTGCAACAAAAGAAAAGGAGGATTTATTTAGAAGAGGCCTGACAAATAAACATTGAATGCAATGTCTTGTTTTATGGGGCTGTATCCTCAATAGCCATAGTCAAATCTGGAAGTAATCCTTGCAAAATACATGTGGAAATAGCAGACTTTACAAATGGCACACCATGATCTGATTTTATTTGTATATGAAAAAGTTGGCACTGTGCCAGTGACAGAAGAAGATGGAAGCAGGACACCAAAATAGGCATTCTTGTTACCATGCCACACAGACTTTCTTTATTTCCTATGCCCAGGTAAAGAAACCCCCCACCTCTTTACCTCTCCTCAGCCCCCTTCTTCCTCTCCCCAAATCTCACTCTAAATGTCAGACACTTGTGAGTAGCCGATTGTTCTCTTTTAGTTCCTGTGTGGGCCAAATTACATGATTTCTTGACCTAATTAACCAACAAAATACTTTCCCATGCCAGGCTTTCAACCCAAACCAAGTGGTTCAGATAAACACTGCAAAATTAAAAATCATTTTCACAAACACATGTGTTTTTGGTGCAATTGTCTTTTTCTGAGAACTGATGTTCTTGTTGAACTAAATCTTGAGCAGTTTGTTTCCAGGGCTCATTATGTTGCTACCGCCATCTGTTTGGCAGACCCAAGAAGACCCACTCAGAGTGGCTCAGCTCAGCGCAGAGCGGACCACCCTGTGATGTCATCTGTTTATATCTCCGTGGGAAGAGCTGGACAAAGACTTTTGGACTTGCAAAATGCTTCATATGTGTGTCTTTTTTCTATTAAAGAAAATGGTCTTGTCTGTAAATGTAACAGAAAAAGATTTGTGAAGGTTACAGTTTTTTGGTAATAGTCAAGAGCAAAGGTCGTACAGTTGACGTAGCACCCCCATGTGGCACATCTTTATAAGACACATCCTCATTTGAAATGCTCATCATTTGAGTCACACTTTTTATGTCATTTTCAGGAAATGTCACAAAAGATGATCAGGGAAATCCATGCAGCCATCAAAAGAGGAGTGCGCAAAGACCAGAAGTGGATGTGATTTGGCACCATTTCACTGCACCACACCTACATGCACAAGACAGATGGAGGGAGGGATCGAGAAATACACAGACAGAAAGGAATTGTGTAGATGATTGAAGAAAGAAGCATGATAGGAAACGACCCAGTAATGCTCTAAACAAATAAAAACAGACAGAAGACAGGTTACTAACTCATGCACAAACCCCTTGGCACCGTCTGCATTTAACTCATTTGATCTCCACATGAGAAAGTTGCAGGGAGGGAAGCAGCCCTCCTCTGGCACGTGGCGCAGTTCGGGGCCTCAGCTGCTCATTTACAGGACCCTAGATACAAGCTATACACTGACTACAGTATACAGCAGGCACAAGCACAGAGCAGAGCCAGAGAAAGGGTTATGTGTTTGTGTAAATCAACTCCAGGAGACCCCCCTCTGCCAATGTGGGCCACTGTGTGTATGTTTGTTTTTACAGCTAAATGAGGAAAGCAATGCAGCAGCCAGTCGGCAATTAGGTCAATACAATGAATGGACCATTACTACTTAATCATGCAGGGGTTTGAACAGAAGTTACAATAGTATGTAAGATGTACTTTTGAAAACTTTGTAAATGCATTATGGTACTTGATGTCTCTTTTAAATATGTACAAATGAATAATTTTTTTGAGTATATGTTTTGTAGATACCTTTTATAGAGGTAGCTGATGCTGATAACTATGTATTTTTCATACTACACCAAATATTCCAATACTGTACAGCATAAGTACTATTAGTAGCACCCATAGCGCAATTTGAGCTTAAAAATCCTTCCAAAGCCGGTAATCATTTTTCATTTTAAATAGTCACAATGAAAGTACTCTCTCATTTCATCCACAGACTGACCAGCTAAAACTTTTTTGAAGATTTTGTGAATACAGTGATTCAAAACAAACATTGCATCTGTGTGATAAAGATGCTGTGTTCCTCATAGACAGAATCTCATGCATCATTCTGGGCGTGTGATTAGATACACTCACTAAAGGTCAGACTCGTGTAATTAACTTCAGTCTGTAGATATATTAACAGCAGATGGATGGGCCGGGTCATTTCAACTCTGCAATTGGCCCTGATACAACTGTACACCAATTTTCCTGGATCCTCCCCTAACTACTGTAAGTCCTTCTTTGGTGCCTCACAGTTCATCTGGTGTATATGACCTAATTTGAGTGGTTAGGACACAGGTGTCAAACATAAGGCCCGGGGGCCGGATGCGGCCCTCCAAGACCTTTAATCTGGCCCTCTGCTGATTTTCTACTAAAATATTTTAATTATAGTTTCTATTAAAATATTGGTAATTTTCTGCGGTGCTTAGCATAGTGGCTCCTCCCACCAGAGCAGCACAAATGAAGACTTGCCTTTTTCCAAACGCTCTTAAAGGACGATCGTTTTTACCTCATCAACAAAATGTCAAAAATGAGAAAAGTGGAGCCAAGTGCAGGATTTTCCAAGAAAAACTGACTTATTCCTATTTGCATACAAGTTAATGTTAAAACATTGTGTTGAAATTGCATTTTTTTGCATCCTAAAGTTTCAGGTTGTTCATAATATTATAATGTTTTGTAAAAGAAAGAGTTCATCAATTAAAAAAGATTTCTGTAATAGATTTGTGTTTCTCTGCACAAATATTTGAATTTATTGTTATTTTTGGGGTATATATGACATGAGTTTTCTGATCCGGCCCCTTTGGGATCAAAGTAGGTTGAATACGGCCCCCGAACCAAAATGAGTTTGACACCCCTGGGTTAGGAGATATTGAAAATCATTAGTTGTGTTTGGGTTTTGCACATATATTTTTGGGTAAATTTTTATAGTTGATTTTACTTTCTGCATTTGACTAATCAATTTAGCTGGGAAATCTTAGCGCTACAGTGAACAACTTTGAGTCTAGGTCAGTAATACCAAGATGGAGGACGAGCCACTCTCACCCCTTGCACATTTGTTTACCGCAACTTTCAATTTCAGACCTGATTTAGAGAAGCTAGTAAATTATCCTAACAAGGCCAGTAACAAAGGTTTGATGCACTGTGGGAAAAGTCTGTGAACTGCTGCATTTAATGAGCATATGATGAATGAACAGACAGAATGGATGAATCCTACAGCAGACATTCAGTACAGTCACTAAAAGCTAATACATCTGCACTCTTTTCACATGGTTGTTGGGGGGAATTATTTAGTGTCACCAGAGGAATACCCCCATGTTGTAATACCCTAAAGTGAGTTACATAAGTATAGATGGTTGTCAGATATAGTGTACAGAGGAAATGCACACGTCAGATCTGTCTGTTGCCATATGTTGCACGTGTGTCTCACTATGCTAAAGGTATTGTGTGGGTGGTGGATATTTATGACTTTGTCGGGACTACAACATCTGTACACAAATTCAATAAAAGGGAACCTGCCTCCATTAAGGGGATAAAAGTCTGGTCACCATGACATAATGTTTTATTATTAGATCAGCAGCATATTTTAAAGTTAAGATTAAAATGAAAATAGGTCAAAGTCAGGCAAGTCGTCTCTATGATTAAGGACAGGGATCAGTCCGAAGGAAATGAATGTAAGTAAATGTACTGTCCCTAAAAAGCATGGAAACCAACATTTGTGTGTGGAAAAGAGGAAAAGACACCAGAGAGTATGAATCCCTGTCAGAGAAGGTCCCAGGCACCTCAAACCTTTGACGGAACATAAAATATAGCGGGGCTTGCCAGACTCTTGAGCGACTATATACATTATGTGCTATATGTGAATGTGCGACCCATTACTGCATGTTCTGCACCGTATATCTGAAGCACAGCCAAAAGAGACAGCCACTGGACCAAGCCGTGTGGAGTTGAGATAACATATAGCCAACATCTCTATGTTATTGTGATTCAGCAGACACAAGCTGGAAGTGTAACACTCACAAATCAGGCAGTGGAGGGGCTGACCACAAATCAAACTACTGCACTTTCTATAACACTGAAGATCATGCCATCATCATTGACAAGCTTTTTTACTTTGACTTTTCACTTTTGAGGTCACCATGGCAAATTGTCAACATCCTGTGCTATATATTATAATTTGCATGCTCCATATATTGATGCTCTCAGTTTAAAGGCTTGGGACTTCTACACACAGTACTTTGATGATTGTCAGAGAATGAGGAAAAAACGGTGTACATGGTGCCATGTTTTTCCCATATTGTTCTTGAAAGAAAACATTATGGTATAAATAGCCCTGCAAGCACCCTGACCACTAGGCTGAACTTGCTGAAAGTCTGGCACACACTTCAAAGTCCTCTGAAACCAATGGCAGTAAGAAAATGAAATAAGCATGTAAAGGCTTGTAATGTATAGATTTGACCCCATTTATATTGCATGCAGTACTGCGTGCAATGGCAGGTGGGTGTGTATCTGGAAGACTGGGCAGGTCTGAATACAGTAAGCATTAAATCTGAAGATGGCTCTCATGATGGCTGTAGCAGAGTGCAACATAAGATCTGAAGTCCCCAGGCAGAGGAGGAGGAGGAGGAGGAAGAGGCTGGAAACACCTACACTTTGCTGGACAGAACATATTCACATGACAGTACCATGCATGATAAGGTATACTTTGCCTGAGACCCCACTACGATGAAACATTACACTGTGAATGCACTAAAGGTCATGTCAATAATAAAAAGAAGTCACTGCATCTCGTCACTCGACCTCGTCCCCTCCTTCTGCTCATAAACTTCTCAATGGCCATAGTAAGCTGCTGTCATTATAAGAACCAGAGCCGAACAGTGAACACCACCCACAGAGCAGCAATGCACTACCTTTTTTACATGATTGAAATCAGGTGGACCCGGCCGCCACTGGCAAAGGGCAACTGCAAAACATGCACATTATGTTATTTTCTCATGATGAGCAGATGAGTGAATGCTACAACTAAACCAGTCACAGAGGGCCATAAGCTATACACT